TGGGCGGAATGATAGTAAACTCCTCATACCCCAGCCAATGAGGGGAAAGGAGAAGGGAGAAGCAGCCGGGAGCAGGGTATAAAATTATTATTATTATTATTATTATTATTATTATTATTATTATTATTATTATTATTATAACATTTCTATGCCGCCCCTTGCCGAAACCTCGGGGCGGCTTACAACATGATAAAATACATTGAAATACAATAGTACATAATAAATTACCATTAAATATAACAATACAAAAAATACATTGATTTACAAATACAAAATTAAAATTATCAGTATAAAATAAAAATATAGGATGAGAAAGAGAAGGAAGAAGAAGTTGCCCAGGCCAGATCATATGTTTTAACAATTGAAATGATGTTTAAATAAAAAGGTCTTTACCTGGCGCCGAAAAACCAGTAACGACGGTGCCAGGCGGACCTCTTTGGGGAGTGAATTCCATAGGTTGGGCGCCACCGCAGAGAAAGCCCTCCTCCGGGTACTTACTCTCCTAATTTCTTTCATGGAGGGTTCCCGGAGAAGGGACTCTCCCGCAGATCTCAAAGGGCGGTCGGGCATATAGGGACGTAAGCGCTCGTTCAGGTAGCCAGGACCCAAGCTGTTTAGGGCTTTGTAGGTCATAATCAACACCTTGAATTGGGCCCGGGCTTCAATGGGAAGCCAGTGAAGCTGACGGAGGACTGGAGTCATGTGAGCATAACGCCCCGTCCCCGTCAGCAACCTGGCAGCTCTATTTTGCACCAATTGAAGTGTTCGGACTGTCTTCAGGGGAAGCCCCACGTAAAGCACGTTACAGAAGTCTAGGCGGGAAGTCACCAGCGCGTGTGTCACTGTCGCCAGGCAGTCGTACTCCAGGTAGGGGCGCAGCTGATTAATCAGCCGAAGCTGAAGGAAGGCGTTCCTCGCTACCGCTGTCACCTGAGCTTCCAAAGAAAGCTCCGGGTCGAGGAGTACTCCTAAGCTGCGGACCTTATCCCTAAGAGGGAGTGTTGCACCATTCAGGACCAGGTCAAATCCACCCTCTCCGAAACCCGATCCGCCAACCAACAGGACCTCCATCTTGTCTGGGTTGAGTTTCAGTTGTGATGTGATGGGATGTGAACATGTGCTCAGGTGAGCTGGAAAATGGGAAGGAAACCATTTTTCATTCCCTTTGTTGCAATAAAGTTTTAAAAAGAACTCTCTGCATGCTTGGAATATTGTGCTCTTCCAAAGGAAAGGAAAGAGTGTTTTTAACAACCATATTGCTTTTTCAGCAGCTTTTGCAATCTTCTCCAATAGTAATTAAAATTATCACAGGTTTGAAAAGCAGTACATTCTATAATTTCATTTATCCTATTCCTCATTCTATAGACAGAGTAATAGAGTATCCATATATATCAGGACTTTTCAAACTGTAATGGATTTACATCTCTCTAGTTTAATATTTAGTCAACCATACGAGACTCATTGTAGGAGGCTTAAAAAGCGGTCTGATGTGTCAGCTTTCATTTATCCACATGTTCATCAAATGACTCTCCTCCACTGACTCTGGGCTGTTTTCCCATCCGGTGCTTGCTTACTGTGGCACATGAAAAACTGGTTTTAGAAAATCTTAGATGATGGTAAAGAGAGCAAACCCAGTGCTTTGTAATCCTGCAAGAATGGGAAGACTTAAAGCTTTGCAGGATTGACTGTGCTGGTTTGCTCTTTTCTTTTTAGGAAAATTCTAAGATCTGCCAAGTGAAATAATGGCTTTGGTGGGCAGGCATATGCTAAGAAATAAGGAACAGGCTGCTTCCAAGGACAGGCTCAGTCCAAGACTCTGTGACCAAAGCCAGCACCAGCCTTGCAAATCCCTTCACACAAAAAATTACTCCAGGATTTCCCCTGAGCATTCTTTTTCATCATTTTTTAATTTGGGGTAGGGAGTAGTGTAACTGTTATTTGTGAACAATTAGGAGCGACAAAGCCATGCCAGTCTATTGCAAAGCAGCAGCTTTTGTCCCCCTGCTTTGGAGAACAATTTCAATGCTTTGCATACATAGCAATGAGACTGTGGAGAGAAAAGATCAGAAGCTAGAAGACAGCTAAACTAAAAGGTCAGAAGCTAACCCTAACCCTGCCCTAACACCTAAGGTCAGGAGGCAGAAAACAGGTGACTGAGGAATGAGATCACAGGAAGAAGGACAAAGGTATATTTTTATTCTTGGAAAGACTGTTGCTTTCAACATTTCAGCAGCTGAGGAATTAGTGCTCTTTGTTTGGGCTTGTGTGACCATAGGTATCCGAAGGTCTGAAATACACAAACTGTTCATGAAAGCTTGATGCTCTGCAAATGCGGATTCTCTAATTAGCAGTGTTATCCTAACTTCATTAATGCCTCCACCCCCTGCATCAGGCCTGAGATCTAACAGTAGAATTACTGCATCATCAATGGCCTCAAGGGAGGCAATCAGAATATCTGGAGCAGGTTTAGGTCCTCTCTTCTTCTCCCTGGCAAAACAGCAAGGAGAGATGTGGTGTATCAATGGCCTTGGACTTTCTTTTCCGTTACTTGCCGAGTCACCCATATGTTTGAGTGGGTGTCTACCTCTGCCTTGTACTTAGGTTCTTGGGCATGTTTCTTTAGGCTCATCTATTTGCCTTCTGGGAAATGATCATTTTGTGAGTTGTCACACCCACCACAGCAGCCATGCTATAAAAAGGCAAATCATCCCTCCACCCATGGCAGACATCCTGTTAGAGACCCCACAGCATATTCTCAACATTCAAAATAGGCCCAGCAGCCCTAAAAGGCTGGGAACGCTTGAAATAGCACTCTTCAAGAAGGCTGGATTGAATCATGGCCCTGGCAACGGATCTTGCTGACAGTTTACTCTAGCCCGCTGCTCTCCATGTCTTCCACAGGAAATGCATTGTTAACCAGATTTTCTAGAGAAAAGCAAAGGCAGGAAGGCATCACATGCAGGAAAAGATGGCAGGAAATCTGCAGAATTAGATCAATATATTTTGCTTGAGTCCAGCGTGCTTTGAATTAAATTCTCCTGAAGCAGCTCCATTGTGTATGCTTTGATGAGAATTTCCTTCAAAAGGCATTGGCCTGAACAAAACATACTTCTCTGCACTTGGAACTAACTTCTCCAGATTTCCAAAAACACTTTATTTCTTGGTCTAGCATTAATCTAGTGGGGCGGGGGGGGGGGGGGATCAAGAACTGAATTCTTTGTATACCAAGGAATTGAATGTTGACATCTAAACACTTAAGTTTATCATCTCACCAGAAGTCTGAATGAATTGGTTCCTGGTGACCAGGCATTAGCCACTGGCTCTACACTTTCCCTAATATTTTTATCAGTAAGGATTCCTTTAAAACATGTCCCAGGCTGTAATCCTGTAATACATGGGAGGGTGGTCCAGAGGCCCTTTGGATGCCCTGGATCTCCTCTTCTGTAGGTGGAAGGTCGGCCCAGGCAGTTTTGCTGCTGCAAATACAGCTTTGGTGCATGGATCTCAGTTTGGAAACTTATCACGGACTGCCTATAGGATCCAGTGATTCCTAGGCCTCGTTTCCCCTATACATCCCCAGAACTAAAACTTATGCCTGTCGAAGAACTAGTGTAGCAGATAGGAGGCAAGCAAAAAGCAGGAGACATCCCTCTCCAATGGCTCGCCTCCATTTGGTATTTCTATACTTCCCCCATGTGCCGGACCCCATGAGCCAGGCAGATTCCATATTTTGTGCAGCTTCCATTCCTTCTTAAAGGGGTTGCTCAGAATTTCCAGGTGGATCATGTCAAACAACTTCATCTTTTGTCTTCTCAAGTGCTGGCAGTCCTAAACAGGAATGTTTCATGTGGGCTGAGAGACCAGCAGGGCAGACGCTCTTTGAATGTGCTCGGTCAGTCACAATAACCTAAATTTAACCACCAGTAGGACTGGTGCCATTACTCTGTGGTGGACCTAGAAGGTTGGAGTTTGGTGCCAAGTTAGAAGGAGAAGCTTCTGGGAGAAACCCTAAGGAATCAGTTGGTCTTGAAAGAGTGATATCACCAAGTGCGCGCTTGCTATTGTACTTGGGCAAACTCTTGACTGCACTGGCCAATTCTTCCTACCACGTCTAGCCATTCTTCCACTTTCCTTCAAGAATTTCAATCTTCATGTTGAACCAGAGCACTTACCAAACTCTTAACCATCTTCCTATATTAAAAAGAAATTCTTCACTGTATTTAAACCACCTATCCAAGCTTCCAAGGCATGTAAGAAGTTTCATTATATTTAAAATGTGGCATGGAAGACTTTATCAAAGCCAAGAGTATGAGACTTCTTATGCCTCTCTCTTTAGACTATCCAAATGGCTCTTTGCATCAGGGATGGGCAACTTGTGGTCCACCAGATGCTTGGGCCTACAACTCCCATCAGACAGCATAGCCAATGGTGAGGGATCGTAAGAGCTGTAGACCAAAATATCTGAAGAGCTGGAAGCTGTCTACCTCTGCTTTACATGTTGCCCTTTCCCACTTCTTCCAATCCAGCCACTTGTTTTAGTCTGCAGACAATTCTGCTTCCCTCCCCGCAATTCCACTATTTTCTCAAACAGTGATGATCAATGTTTTCGCCTGCTGCACACTAAAAGAGCTCAATACAAAAATCTGATTCAGTTGGACAGCCTTGCTGTTTCCCAGGTATGGAGCACGTAAGCAGCTGCCAACGAACTAGTAGGGGATAGCAAAGAGACATTAACCGTTTATAGAGTCTGCAACAAGTCCATTAACAGACAGGAGTTTGCAATAACAACAAGATCTGAGCTGCAAATACAAGACAGCGCAGCAAATTACATCAGGTCTAGAGGCTGCCTTGGCCTTTGTGCTCAAGGCAACAAGATGCTGTCATTTTTCATTTCAATGCTGCTTGTTCAAGTGAAGAATCTACTGAATCCACCTTCAAGCCCCAGGCAAAAAGGCAAGACAATGGGGGAGGGGGAAAAGGCAAGCCAATGGCAGACAGGAAACCCTGAAAGCAAAGAGCATTTTATTGACATTTACAACTGAAAAGTTCAAATAACCTCCCACCTCCTTGCATACTGGAACAAAGTTCTCGGCATTCACCGTGACAGCTCCAGCAAGGTCACAGTCAAGTCAGCCCCAAACTTTCCTCCCCTGAGTATTCAGGAATCTCTTATCAAAGCTATTTGGATTGTGGGAGCAAAGCTTTGGACTTTTATCTAAAGCAGCCTTCTCCAGCTAGGTGCCCTCCAGATGGGTCAGACTACAACTCCCATCACAGCCCAGCTGTGATGGCAGTTGTAGTCAGATCCATCTGGCAGATGGCCCATTGGGAAGACTAACCCAGTTATTCTCATCCACTACAAAAGCAGCACAATAATAAAAAAGGCATGACAGCCTACTTGTCTCAAGGTCCAAAACCAGTCCTGAAATTTTAATGATACAGGAAGCAAGGCATTGACTCCTGAGAAGGATTTGCTGAGGACACCAGTCTCCCCTATGCAATGATTATGGGCTGGTTAAGTCAAAACATGTTGCCATGAGGCATCTATATCCTTGAAGCACCCAACTCTGCTTAAGAGCAGTCCTTGATCACTCATAGTGAGCACAAGGCTGTGAAACCATTTTTTTTTTTGCCTGGGGAGGCTAGTCCCAGAATGCAAATGCAACCTTTCCCTCACTTCTGTGACACAAACAGGATGATGTCACCAATGACAAGACAGACCTTGGTTCCAGCCAAACCCAAACAGAATGGCATCATTGAGAAGTTATCAAGCCTCCTTTCCCGTGTCCCTCGTGACAATATACTGCTATCTCAGGTCTGAAATGCTGAACCTCTTTTAGCCTGAAGGCTGAATTCCATTTTGAAGGAATATTTGAGGGCTGCATTCCAGTGGGCAGTGGGGAGAGGCAAGAGACAGGAACAAAATACCAGTAAGTATTAGCTTAAAGCCCTTCAATGCCTCTCCAAAATGCCTTAGGAGAGACATTACAATCTTTTAAAATGGGGAAAAGCCCATGTAAAAGCATGAAAACCATGTTTGGCAGCTGGGGGAAAGGGAATGGGGTTGCCTAGGAAACCCAAGGGGGCAGTTTGGCCCAAAGGCCTGAAGTTTGACTACCCTCTCTGAGATAAGGGGCTACAGCCCAGTTTGATATGATGTTATCACAGGGTGAGCCTCCCCACATTTTGTGTACAGGGAGATTTACATCTTCTGTTCTTGATTCAGAACTGTGATTTATCATTGCATCTTAATTCAGTCTGCGGTTGATTGAAGTTATGTCAGAACTGGGCATATGTCTTTGCAGGAAGCAGAGCAGTGCCAGAAGCAGCCCTGAATGACACCCAGTGGGCTCCATATTACTTCCATTCTTTTTTCAGCAAAAGGCAGATTGCATAAGCAGATTGAGCATAGAGCAGGAAAGCTGCGATAACGGCATGGAGTAGGAATATGAGATGGAGGGAGAGCTCACTGCAGTCCCTCAATGGGATTCCCACTGGAACCTACACCAAGGAACCTCTTGTGCTACTTTTCTCTGTGAAAGCAGAGAAAAAGCTCTATCTTGCTTTTCCTCCTCCCACCTCGGTGTGACTGGCAGCAGGGTTCTGTCCTTGTGCACCTGTGCTGCAGGAAGCAGGAGTGGGCAGCTGAGGTGCATTCCTGTAAAAAGTCTTGTCAAATTCTGCTGCGGTTGGCCTGGGTGTGGTGGGTGGGGAGAGGGAGGTGGATGTGCTCTTTTATTCCTCAGCTATCGGCACAGCTGGCCCTTCAGCCCTTTTCCAGCTCAAAATATGCCCCGTGTTAAAAATAAATAACCAGCTTAGAGTTTCACCCCCTTTCTGCAAAGGCTCCATAATGTGTGCTTAAATATGGGAGTTAATGGCTGACAAGCCATGCGCATCACATGCCTGACAGATGTCCTTTCCCCCAATGTGATTGCAGTCCGTTGGAACTGTCTCTTGCAGGATCTTGGGGTGTCCCTGGAAGGGCATGTCTCTACAACAGGCCAGCAGAAGGAGACCCCGTTAACTGGAACAGCAGTCCTGATGCTTGGAACAGCAATGATGACAATGAAGGGAGGCCCAATGTCCCCAAAGCCTCTTCTTCATCCCTTATCCTGGGGGAGCAGTCCAAGGCAGTGACAGCAGCCTGCTGGTTCTGGACAGTTTGACATGTATCCAGTAGGAAAGGTATGCTTAAGACTGGGGGCAGCGGCTATTCCAGAGTCTTACAGATGAGCTTCAGCTGCTGCTTCTCTTGACTTGTCTCCTTTTGACTGAGAGATCGTAGGAAAGCCCGTTACCTCTTCTCAATCTTTTGCTTCTGCAAGCTGAGTGAGGTGAAGCTGGCCAGGAGGTCAGTAACTTCATCCACCTACCAGACAAACACAACAGCATATAGAAGTCAAAATGAAAATCTGGAGAAGAAACAGAACTTCCTGAGGTGCTAATACATGAGAGGTGTCACCAGATATGTGGACCTACAACTCCCATCAGCCCTAGCTGAGGGTTCACTGACAAGTCGCCTCAGGATGTTCCCCTGGGATGAGCTGGGGCTCCCAGGTCTGGAGAGTGACTGGGAGCCATTTCAAGTCATGTCTCTAAATACAAGGATGATGAGACTCTCTGAAGGGCTGGGACTCTTGCAGACAGTCCAGGATAGTGCAAATAACCAAGATCTGTGTATGATCTCCAATTAGTCAGGACTGTCTTTGAAAGTGAGACTTGGGAAAAGTTAGAAGGACCTGCTGCTCTGCAAAGCTGTACTGCCATCCTCTCCCCTGCATCTGATTTGATAAAGAACATATTCAAACAATACCTTTTCCTTCCACTTGATAGCCAAAGCTACGATCAAACTTCCTTTTCACAGTGGAACTGTGATGGCATTGCTTCTAACTGTAATAACCATATGTAGCAGGAGCAGGCAGCATTTATTTAAATTTGGTGGCCTTTATAATGTGAATTTCTCCAGCAATACTGATAGGTCTTGAAGTTATTTATCCTTAATCCATTTTATTATGTTACCAATAAAATATTCCATAATCCCTAGTTGAATGATAAACAAGACTTTTCACTTTACTGATTTCTACAAACTGGTTAAAAGTACACAACATTGTCAATAGTCACTCACTTGTTCTTTTGTGCTAGTCATCTGTAGCCTGGTGCAAAGATCATCTAGCTGCTCCCGCTGTTCGTGACGGCCAAGACGGTCAAGGTATTCCCGCAACATCTGGATGATCTGAAACACAGAGACAGGAAAGATATTGACCATGAGCAATGGAAAGAGTGCAGGCTCTGAACCAGGGGGCCAAAACTGAAGCAAATATTTGGATATTTTGAAGAATTTAAGTAAAATGGAAGCACATCTGAAGAGGAAATATTCCTGGAGGAATATTTCTCGAAGCTGCTGCTCTGCATGATGTCAGAAGGCAAAGATCTGGGCCAGGTGGGGGTGGAGACCTGTCTCCTGATGTCATCCAGGGCTCTGCCTAGGCCTCCGGAGACAATCTGTCCCCCACCAGTTTTAAGAATTTCAAGTCCAAATGCAGCATGCTGGCAGCTGGACACAGGGTGGGTACCACTGAAATCAGCAAGAGTCAGTTCACCACTGATGTCAATTCTTACTGAATGAAGGCTTTTGCTTTCCCCCCTTCTCTCGTCCCAAAATGTCAGGCTCTGTCATGTGGCCAAGCCTGGGAAGGTACCCTCAAAGCTCAGCTCCACCAATCCCTTGAGGTGTCTCTGTATGAGGAATCAGAGAACAAGGTGCTGATGGCCAGAGCCCCCGGCCACTTTCACTGCCATTTCAGTCACATGCATGATGGGGGCCATGGCTGTCCTGACAGCAGGGATGCAGAATCTCTTTCAGCCACTAAAAGGCTACATTTGGAGAAGCTGTCAGGGCTGCATTCCAGTAGGAGCACTGCTGAAGGTAAAACAGTGTGGCCAAAAAGTCAAGAAATACCAACACATTTTAGCTTGTAGTTGATTCTGCCATTAATCCCTAGACTTTTTGACTTTTGAGAATGGGGAAGCCCTGGTTAAGGGTATATATGCCATATGGAGAACCCCAGAGCAACCGGGTAGGACATCAGGGGGACCAGACCTGGTTCCTCATTCGGAGGTTCTTCACTCCTGCTGCTTTAAGGTCTGCCACCATGTTCTGCATCAGTGAGGTTAGCTAGATGAGCACTGGGAAAATGCTGCTGTTTTCCTGGCCAGTCACCTCAGCTACTGCCACCACTAAGAACAGAAGAGCCCTGCGGGGTCAGACCAAAAGTCCATCTGGTCCAGCATTCTGTTCACACAATGGCCAACCAGTTGCGCAAGGGAAACCCACAAGCAGGATTTGAACACACAGCCAGCATCCTACCCATGTTCCACATGAACTGATGTACACAGGCGTGCTGCCTCTGATACCAGAGATAGCCTATGGCCATCAGGACTAGTAGCTGTTGATAGCCATATCCTCTATAACTGGTTCAATCTCTTCTTAAAACCATATAACCAGGTGGCTATCACTGCATTTTGTGGCATCTATGCCACAGTTTAACTGTGTGTTGTAAGAAGACTCACCCACCAATCAGCTGCATGGGATGACTCCTGCTTCTAGTATTAGGAGGGAGAAAAATGTCTCCCTATTTACTTTGTTCACACCACGCATGATTCTGTACACCTCTATCTTACCTCTCCTTACTCATCTTTTCTGTAAGCAAAGCAATCCCAGGTGTTGTAACTTTTCCTCTTAGAGGAGCTGCTTCAGACCACTGATCATTTTTCTGTACTTTTTTCAACTCTAAAATATCCTATTCTAAGTACAGTGACCAGAACTGTACACATCATTCTAGGAGTGTTTGTACCATGGATTTGGAAAAGGGGAGCATGACATGGGCAGTTTTAGGTTTTCAGTTCATTTACTAAGTATGCCTAATGCAAGCCATTCTTTATTGCACAAGCCTTATAAAATGGTTTTTTAAAAATACTATTATGTGCACCAGCATTACAAGATGTAACCTTTGAAGAAAGGGGAAAATGCCCTGGAGCAGTGGCAAAGGTGAGGGTATGTGCCCCGGGGCAGCCTTTGAACAGAGCTGAGGTGGGAAAAAACAAAACGCCTCTGCAGATTTCTCAGCATGTGTCTTTTGTGTGGGGACCACATGTTGCATTTTTTCTACTGAACAAGGTAAGAGCTGTTGTAATGCAAGCCACCAACCTCCTCCCCTGTAGAAACTAAAATAGGGATGGGGATTTTTTTCTTTATCAAGGGCTGCATTCTCTCAGGGATAATGTTGCTAGTAGTAGGCAAGCATAGTCACCCCCTTCTCCCAAACCCTTTACCTTAGCTATTTGGTGCTCTCCCGGCTTTTCTGCCATTTCCCCTCTCATTCTGAAACCCCAGTTAACAGTCACAAGAGCTTTAACACGGTATGCTGGGTGTTATGGTACCCACCCTTCCTTGCTTTCGGTTCTTCCCAGCAGTGGAATGTGGCCACTGATAGCTTTGCTGAAATGGAATTCAGCCCTCTGGTGGAAAGAGGTGTGCCTGGTGCCGAAAAGAATAAAGCGTTGGCTTTAAAACCTTTTTATTTTCCCAGTATTTTAAGGTTAAAATTGCAATTTTAGTTGGGGTTTTACTGTATAGACATGATGCTGTGCCTTACTTCATTTTATTGTAAAACCATCCTGAGACTACTTGGTAAGAGGATGGTAGAGAGATGTTTTAAATAAATAAAATAAAATAAAGTTTCACACTCCAGTTTCCACAACCTGCATTTCAGCCTTCTAAGCTGCACACGCGCTCTCTTTCCTACCCTGAATTTTACAGTGACACCTTTGATTTAGAAGCCATTGATTCTCAGGTTACTAAATCTCTGAGTGTGCAAATTGTCTTCCAGTGTGCACTGGGAGAAATGCTAAATATAGAAAAGCCAAGCAACTACAATCTTCCAAGAAAGAGCATTCTTCCACCTGCTTCACTTCGAGACACACTGCTTCCAGGCTCTGTGAGAGGCCCTCCTGCAAGATGTTCAGCTTTGACTTGGCCAAATGCAGAGGGGTTCTTCCAGCTCGATCCAATGCATCTACTCGAGCTCCTGCAAGATGTGCATATAGAAAGGGATGCTTTTAAAATGGTCTGGCTTTAGAAGGCTGTAAAAGAGGAAATGGCAGCCTTTTAATTTTCCAAGAGGAAGCATTACCTCCACGGAGCAGGGTGGTGATGACAGGAACATGGTTTGTGCAGGCAGCTGGGGAGGGAAACATGAGACACACAACTAAGTAGTGCTTTAACAGAAAAATGGTAGGGATAGACTGCCCTATCTGCTCTTGGAAGAGACCCTGGGTAGAGACCATCCATTTCTCTACATGCTAAGTGTACAAAGGTACTGGTGCAGTAGATTAGCCCAGAGCACAAGATGGGAAACCCTGCTGCAAATCTTGCAATAAGGATTTCAGAGTTAACATGTGTACAGTGCTTTCAATAAGTGAAATTTGTCTTCAGAAATACCAAATATTATTATTTTCTGAAATGAGACTTCAATCAAGTCATCTGGAGTTTCTTCTCGTATCTTTGGTATTCAGTTCTCAGTATAAATAATTGAAAGCACCTGCATTTCTGTAATTTTTCTGACTGCACAGAACAAGGTAATTGTTCCTTAAAATAGAGTTTGGGATATATTCTGTTCCAACTGGCAAAGCGTAAAACCAGAGCATACATGAGGGACCAGAAACAACAGGGAAGATAGCTGAGCTATGGTTCTGCCCTTATCTTCTAATTGTTGAACTTCCAAGCAAATGTTGCACACACAAATTTCAGGCAAAACCCCACAATGAGGGCAACCAAAAGATCAAAGCTCATATAACTCAGGATTCTGCCTATAGCACCAGTCTGTACCTGGTATCTCAATCACATCCTTGCAGGTTCAAGCCCCAGGGCTTAAGGATCAATCATCATCATGAAGCATTTATATAGCACTTTAAAGTTCAATATGCTTCACATACATTATCACATCAAACCTTGCCACAGTCCTGAAGGGTAGGCCAGTACTGTGATCCACACATTGCTGATGGGGATGGAGTATTAAAATTTATGGTTGGTGTAAGGCCACCTAGCAAGTTTCACAGATAAAGAGACACTTAAATCAGCAGTCTCTTGACTCACTGCTCACTCTTAGCCACCGAGCTACACCTAGGATAATGCTACTTGCAGCCACAGCAAGGCTAGTGTTCTAGTGTACTCTATCTCCAGGGCAGGCATCTTGTGGCCATCCAGATGTTTTGGCAATCCCTCACCATTGGTTAAGCTGGCTAAGACTGATGGGAAATACAGACCAAAACCTCTGCAGGGTCACATGTCGCATACCCTGCTGTAATATTACCTTTACAGTACTCAAGGCATTCCAAAGTATCCCATGCAGTTCTCCTGAGCACAAAGATTGCTACTGTGATGCAAAGGAAGGAAAGAAGCTCTAAGGAAAGAAACAGGCAGGGAAATCTATAGTCAAGGCTATAATAAAAGTATGGTCATGCTACTGCATTCTAGGTGGTTCATCCTTACCCAAATGCAGGGGTGTGTTCCCTAATCCATCTCGCTGGTTTGGGTCAGCGCCATGGTCCAAAAGCAACTGGACTAAAATACAAACAGAGCCATCTCAAATTTGTCTTGAACTTGATGAGCACAGAAACTTTCCCAATACAAAATGAGCACCTTATAGCTGTGAGCCAGCTAGTGGTTATTCAAAACCACTTCTGCCCATGTCTTCTCAAAACCGATCTCTTTGCAAAAGTCCTTTATAGCAGGTGTGAGGAACCTGTGGCCCTCCAAATGTTGCTAGAGTCCAAGTCCCATCAATGCCATGCAGCATGGTCAATGAGTAGGGATGATGGGAAGTGCAGTCCAGTAACATCTTTAAGGCCTCAGATTTTCCAAGTCTGAATTAGAGGTGCTGGAATTCCCTGGCATATATACTTGCAACTCTCAAGGTGCCATAAAAAGTGCTAGAAACAGCCTAATGCTGTCGCTCTCATTCTTGATCTTTAACAGCTTTTTTGTATTTTGAAAGGGTGTCATGCAAACTCACTTCCCACAGAGGGTTGTCCTAGGGCAGTGATGGCAGACCTTTTAGAGACCAAGTGTCCAAACTGCAACCCAAAACCCACTTATATATCACGAAGTGCCAACACTACAATAAAACCTGAAAACTGAGGTTTTAGTTTAGAAAAAATGCCTCACAGCCAGTCCAAGCAAATACAGTCCAAGCAAATATATATTTATCCTTGGCAGCACACTGGCCATGCGAAAGCTCAGGTGAGTTGCTGCTAATGAGTCGCAGCTCGTGATGTCATCGCCTGGCGCCGCTACTCCTTTCCGAGCATGTGCATGGCCCCTATGTATGCTGTTATCTGATGCTCGGCTTCTGGGGCAATGCTGGGGTGACTTGGCTCACGTGCCGACAGAGGGTTCTGCGTGCCCACTGTGGCCTGCGTGCCATAGGTTTGCCACCACTGCCCTAGGGAAATCCAGAATGCTTGCAAAAAGGCTTTTGAGGATGCCAAATTTTTAAGAAAAAAGGAATATGATCAGCAACCCATCACTCAGTAACAGGGCCAAAACCTGACAGTTCTTCCCTGTTTTATGCTGACTCACCAATATGATCATTTCCATTGCAGGATGCAAAGTGCAGTGCTGTTCGACCTTTGTCATCAGCAGCACAGGGGTCTGCTCCATCTTCTAGAAGCTGCTGCACTGTTGCCACCAAGGGAGACAAGACAGGACAGTTGTAATAGGACTGAGATGTTCTAAAATTCCCTGTCAGAATTTCAGCTCAAGGTGCAATGAATTCTGACATACATTCCAAAGACTAACACTTAGCAATGAAGACCCAAGTATAGTACGGTCACACTTTTCAGTAGCAATTATTGGCAATTAATTCAGCATCAGATATGTATTTGCAAATATCAGAATGCAAGGCAAGGCATAGAAAGGGAGAATCCATGCTTATGGAAACCAACATCAGTTGTTACTCAGAATTACTATTTAGCAACTTCCAAAATCAGGTCTTTAATTCCAGTAGCGAATATACTTCGCCTTTGCATTTCCTCTGTTCCAAATTCTTCATTAAATTCTGGAATCTCATTTAATCAAGATAGTATATCACCACTGCTACACACCTATGTACATTTTGTTTTCTCATTCTAAACATTCAGTCCACTACTTCAAAGCAAACAAAAATCATATGGTGCCTTGTGTTCAAATACATGTCACAGCACAATCCAGTGAAAGTTAAGCCCAGTGTCCTCATGATTTCAATCAAGAGTGGAGCTGTAATACAAATTTTCACTGCCCCACAATGTTTGACTGGTCTGAAAAAGTTTCACTTTGCTGCATCACCCTCAGCATGTCCCTGTGTGGGGTGAGGAACACATGGCTGTCTAGATGGTTGACAGCAACTTTTGGCAACACAGGCCAGCACAGTCAATGGTGAAAGATGTTGGGAGTAGCAATCCAAGAACATCTAAATGGCCACATGTTCCCTATCTCTGTCACATATAAAGATATACAGACATTAATGCAGCCTTGTATACAAGGACTTGTCCAGTTGCCATAGGTGACCCTGAATTGCACACAGGCAAACACATGGAATTTCATACATTAAAAGGCAGAAAGTAGCTCTCCATCCACCTGATCTGGAAGTGCAGCTCTTCGGCCAGCCCCCAGCAGGCTAGTAAAAACATTTGTAGGCTAGTAACTTTAGGGAGATTACTTACAAGGTTGCGCTTATGGCTTGACCTCATGCATTACTATGCCTAATAACTATTCTGAAGCCAAAGTCCACAATTCACAACACAATCTTTGCCACGCAGAAAATAATATTTCTACATAGTGGATTTCAAACTCACCCACCCTGGCCAGAAGCTATGCAGAAGACACATAGGGATTGTGGCTACACTAAGGTGCGAGAGATGCAACCTTACCTGTTTCTAAATCATTAGAATTGGCAGCTTCTCTTAACCTTTTCAGTGCTGTAGAAAAAGAGAGAGTGTGTGTTTTCACCATTGAAAAATGAATGGGGCAACAGGAACACTATTTCTCTGATTACTGGACTCTTCACAAAAACAAGTAAAATGGTTTTGTAGAGCCAGGGTTCATTGGTTGGTAATATATTTGCAGTGCACAGTTCTCATCTCCTCTCAGGATTATACATCATCAGTGAGATACTGTTCCTTTGTGAACAGAAAATAGTTTTCTGCACTCAGGGAAATGTGATACACTTCTAGCTATCATATTCATTGTGATAGTGATTCCTTTATAACATGGACACTTAACTAGATATCTCCTACATTGTGATATTCTATTTTTATACAAAAGTGCAAACATCAGCATGGCTGATCTCCTTTCTTCCTACTAATTTTCATTGCATTTCATTGCCATTGTTCTATTAATAATTCTTGTTTAAAATTAAAGACTCATTTTGTTTGTGCTTCCACAAGTTTGTGAAGCAACTCTCCCAGAGTCAGCACCCCTATGTTTGTGGGGAAAGAGGAATATGACTCTAAAAGGTTTTCCTAATTAACTCATCCCCATGCAAGTATTCAGAAGAAATGAACATCATTCCCATCCTTTTTGGCTGCCAATTCTCCAGATACTAAAATTCAAGGGATTACTTCATTGGGGCTACAAGTCTATACATATTTACTGGGGAGTAAGCATCAATGAACACCATGCGCCTTGCTTCTGAATAAATATGCACAGGTTTGTGCCATAAGAGTGCATACTGAAATCAACCCAACACAATCCAGTTATTCCTCCAAGTACTTCAGCCAGTCCTTCTTACTCCTAATCAAAGCAGCTAACAAAGCAGTGTTCCCCAAAACTCTTTTGATATATACTCTTCGGTAAAAGGAGGATTCCAATTATTTCAGGTCTGTGTTTGCAAATCAGTCTTGTATCCCAATCCTTCCCTGCAGGGGGTGAGTCATGGTAGTTTAGACACCTTCACTGCAAAATACTCCAATCATCACCTCAGACTGGGTCTCCCACATGGCAGTAAACCAGCTGAAAGAAAATTACACTAATTTATTATTTTTATATTGCACTTTCTTTCTGTCCAGCAGGGAACCCAAAGCAGTTTATATAATCCTCCTCTCCACCTTATTCTCACAATAACCCTGTGAGATGGGTTAGATTTGAGGCTCAGCGACTGACTCAAAGTGATCCAGTGAGTTCAAGGGCTGGGTGAGTACCAACCAGTCCAGCACTCTAACCACTATGTCACAGTGGCTCTGCAACCCATTTTTACTCAGTATATTTACTCAGATCACATTCAAATGCAGTAAGGTTTATTCCTTAACAAACAGAGTCCAAGTTAAGGACCAATCCATGTCGACTCTTGAATTGCTACTACAGCCCCCTATGACAGCCTTCCCCAACCTAGGGTAGACCTCCAAATGTGTCAAGCCACAACTCCCATCAGGCCACTGGGCACTGCTGACTAGAAATGATGGAAACAAAGTCTAACAAATGGGGCTGAGGCTGTGCAGGCGGAGGATGACGGGAACTGTAGTCTAAGGCACGTGGAGGTCACCAGGTTGAACGAGCTTGCCTAACGTCATAGGCACGTTTATTCGGAAGTATGCCCTACTTCAGCCCTTTAGGATTTTCTCCTCAGCAAAACAGGCACAGAATCGGGCGCTTAGCCCGCAATTACAAGGCCCGCAGGATGTCCAGTTTTCTGATCCCGTTGCTGAAGCGACCTATGGATCTAGGCGGCCGACACGGAAGGGCTCTGGACCTCCCCATCGCGACAGCGACGCGCGCTCACAGAGGCAACCCCCTCGCCTCCCTTCGCGCCCAGCCCCTCACCGTGGATCTCCTTGCCCAGAGGCCCCACCTTGCGGTGCAGCCGGGCGGCCCTGCGGCGGCGGCCGACGATCTTGCACACGCGCGGCTCGCGCTGCCAGGGGAGCTGCAGGTAGCCCAGCGAGGCGGCATCCGGGGCTTCGGGCACGGCTCGCAAGGCAGCTCCGAGGCCCGCCAGAGAGAACATGTTCGCTGTCGCGGCGGCTGCGGAGCTGGGCGCCTCCGCATCGCCGCCTTCCATCCCCGCCGCCGGTCCACCTATCCGGCGGCCCCCCGCGCCTCCGACTCAGCCCGGCCCACGCTTGGCGGCGGGCTCTCGGGAGGGGGCGGGCACTTGCGTAGCCATGGGAACGTGTTCAGCGGCAGCTATCGGGTCCACTCGGGAGCTCCGCAGCAGCTGCCGCGTAGCCAATAGGAGAAGGCGGATGTTAGACTCTGTGGGCAAGGCGCGTCAGCAATTGTTTCACAAGAGAGGGAAATTCTCAAAAGCGTGCATTCACGCTCCGCCTATTTCGATTAGGAGCTTTCATTTGCGGGGCTGGAGTGGAGGAAATACAGTCTATAAAATATGTGCATGTAACATTATACGAACTGGCTCTATAGGGAACTCTTTTTTCAAGTGTGGATCCTTATGTAGCCAAAACAGCACCATCCACGGGGGGGGACGAAGGAACAATAAGCTAGAAAAATACCTTTGGATAAAAGCCGTTGGAGATACCCCAAAATTAACCCATATGAATATAATCCAAATACCCATATCCGGGTTCTGGACCCCATTCGTCCACAAAGCTCATTGGGCGGCACTGGGCCTGTGACTGACTTTCAGCCTAACCTACTTCACTACCAAAGAAGGCATAGGGTTGAAGACTGTACATGATTAATCTGTCGAGCTGCTTTGAAAAGCAAAGGTTCTTTGCCTCCCCCCATTTTTAAAAACTTTGAGGATGTTTTAAAAGTTGGCTAATTTTCTGCTGTGACAGGAGACAACCTTATATTTTCAAACCACTTTTAACAAAACAAAGTTCTAAATGGTACCCTTTAAAAATCTTTAAAAACACTGCATTTACTGTCACCTTGGGGTTCCAATTTGGGCCAAAAGTTGATTTGGAAAAAATTATTATTTCCATGTCACCTTTCAATCCATATAACAACTCCAAAGAGATCATCAATGCAATATTTTAATTATTTCCATCTACATTCTTTTCTCATAAGGACAGTAAACAAAAAAAAGCATATCTAAAAACATGGGAGCATTGTAGAGGGGAAATATCCATTCATGTCGAGATTCTTTTCTCGTTCTTGATACTTTACCTCAAAGTACTGCAAAGAAAAGGAGCCTTAGATCTTGGCCGGATTTTTAGACTACGTTAATTCTTAGACATTTCCACCACATCCATTGGTTCTCCCAACTGTAATTGCGAACCGAAAGTATCAGTGAGAGAACCATTTGGCTTGGCCCTTGACCGCACTCAATCGATTTCCTGCGTGATAACACACCCGCCCAGAGGCGGAGATACAAACGGAAAGATTGACAGGTGTTAGACCCAATTATGATCCAATCGGCTTTGCGCCTTCCTTCCCTATGGTCGCCCTAACGGGAAAGCAACTTCCGCCCGAACTTGGAACGTCTCGTTCAGAGACTATGCGCGTATTCTCTCACCCACATACTCCCGCGTGGGTCTACCATTTCCTATCACGATAATCTGTACCAAACATGCCCCAAATTTAGTCCCCGACGCCTCCTTCTGCCTACCCCCAATTGCCCGTCAATACCCGGAACGTTTTACCTGCTGGCTTCTGGTTGGTACCGGAACTAGCTCCGAGTTGCTGGCCGGAACGCTTTCTCTGTTGCCACGCTCCTTCCCAGTCGGCTGCTCGACGGTGTGCGATCCCTTTTCCTGTTCGAGGCCTCGCCATGTCTCATCTGACGGATGATTACGATGAGGTACTGGCCTTGCATGTTGGTGTCTTGGTCGGTGTATAGGAATTAGAACTCATGTGGTTGACGTTAGGCCTTGAAAGAGTCGGGCCTAGGATCTGCTCTGGCAGGGAAGGAAGGATGCTACTACAGGGCTGCCTTCTCCAACCCATGTGTTTTCCGGACCTCTTGTACTTCAACTCCTATCACCCGCAGGAATTCTGAGAATAGTTGTCCCAAATATCCAGAGGGCACCAGGCTGGGGAAGGCTACTCTTGGTTGTCGGTTGGGAAGGCAAGACATCCTCGCTTAAGGCGAGGTAATAATACGTTGGTCCTCTCCTGGTGTAAAGAGAGCAGCCTGTCTCTGGGAACTAAATTGGGTGGGACATCTCTCCCGGAGTTAAAAGAAGTTAGGTTTGTGGTGGTATCTGTGCGTTTTCAAACTTTCACTTCTTTTCAGGGTTCCTACGATCCGTATGCTTATCCAGGGGACTACGATATGCATACAGGTGAATGCTTGTTTCCATTTTGATAATGTTTTCCAGAGATGGTTTTCCTGTAGAGGTAGGGTAGCATGCAAGAGGCTTCCTTTGAGATATACACAGACTGGAGTTGACAGATTGTGAATACAATCCTAGGCATTTCTATTCAGAAGTATGTCCCATTGAGTTCAACTTCAATTGAATTAATTATTAGGTGAGTATTGATTTTGCAGCCTTAATAAAGAATGGGACTGCTTTAGAATTCACCTTACTATAGTCCATGAACTCTAATACTAGAATAAATGTATTAGCACTTAAATTGCTATATAGCTTGCTCTTTCTGCATTAGGCTCCTTTCTAGACTACGTGGGAAAACATGTACTTGATGAAAGTTTCTACATAGGCAACTGTTACAGCAGCAAATTTATTTCAAATTGAAATTGGCAACCCTTGTTCAGACAAGTTACTTAATAATGAGGCTTCCCCTTCTGAGATGTTTTGTTTTCTTGAGCACTGTCTCCTTGTATTTACAGTAAGCAATAGAAAGAATATGGGCTAATTTGATCGGTGCCCAGATGAAAGAAAATTTTGGCTAAGCAAATCAGTATGCACCTATGTTATGTAGGTGTTGTGCTAGATTTTGGCCGTGGAGAGAAGTTGATGTAGGTATTTACCAAAAGTAATGCCTCAGGAGCAAAAATAAGGTGTTTAGTTCCTATTTTCTTGAGTTAAAATAGTCTTAATTGTTTCTGAGCTCTAATATTCATCCTCATAACTTTTATGAATGTTATAGGTTTTCTAAGTGTTTACAATAGGCGTGAAAAGTAAACAAAGAGTAGAGGCTAGATTATAAGGCATCTGTTTGGAGGTTGGAACATAAACTGTTTCCTATAATTCTGCTTTTTCCCATTCTGCTCCAAGATCATTGCTATTTTTTTTAATGTTTCATAGGAGATCCAAAACAGGATCTAGCCTACGAACGACAATATGAACAGCAAACCTATCAGGTGATTCCTGAGGTGATAAAAAATTTTATCCAGTACTTTCATAAGACTGTGTCTGATCTGATTGACCAGAAAGTGTACGAGTTGCAGGACAGTCGTGTATCCAGTGATGTCATTGACCAAAAGGTGTATGAGATCCAAGACATCTATGAGAACAGGTATGTTTTCTCATGGAAGGGTGAGGGTTGCCAGTACAATTGCCTTGTGATGATATCTAATCATTTTTATTAACACTAGAGAGAGAGAGACTGAAGAATTGATAAGACAGAGACACATAACAGTTCATTTGTCCCTGTCAGAAATTTGGTCCATCCAGCTTAGATTTTCTTGCTTTGTTTAGCAACAGATCCTTGTGATTTAGGCAGAAGTTTTTCTGAACTCTATTAGGGCAGATTCCCAACATGGCATCCTCCAGATATTTTGAACTACAACTCTCAGGATTCCTGAATATTGACTGTTCTGGCTACGACTGATGGGATCTGAAGTCCAAAACATTTGGAAGGTGCCAGCTTCAGTAAGGCTGCTTTAGATGCTATGAAGTACTAGGAATTTCTGCATGTTAACCTATAAATCCTTCTGAAGAAGGTTCTGTTTTCCTACCTCAAGAGAAGCCTTCAGTTACCACAAACAGATTTGTGTGTAAATCAAAAGCCTCACTTCTAGTATAGGTCTGTGCTTGTTATAGGAGTTAGATTTCTTTCCCCCATAACATGAGTAATTCTTAGCTACATAAGCTTGATGAAAAGTAGGAAAACCAGGGTTACATTAGATATGATCCCTTTGCTGTTAATGAGTAAGGCTCTTGATTAAAACAAAATATGTATGTGTCTTGCAGCTGGACCAAACTGACGGAAAGGTTTTTTAAAAATACACCATGGCCAGAGGCAGAGGCTATTGCACCACAGGTTGGAAATGGTAAGAATTTTCTGTTCTGTCTTAATCAGTGTGTTAGAGAAGAAAAATATTCATTGGGGTACTTACATTGGAACAGTCCATGTATTTTTTTTAATAGTAGGAGCCAGGACTCATGGCATTTTGAAAGAAGAGATAAGCTGAGAACCAAGCTAAACTCTTTTAATTTCTAGTGGTTCCTTTTATCTAACAGGGCTTTTCATGAAAACATACAGTCTGCTATGATGCTCATTGTCTTCCATATTTGCATAATCTAAGAATTTGCTGTTTGTCAACATGGAGTCTTTTCATTCCACTGATGGAAGGTGCTCAGGATCTGAAAGTGGGTCTGAGCAAGTGGACTCCATGAGAAATTGTGGCGGGAAGGAAGAGGGGATACTAAAGGGATGAGAAAAGTATGTTGCCCTTTCACTCTTGCTTCCTACTCTACCTTTCTGCCTGCCTGCACCTATTTACCCCCTGTACCTTCCTCTCTCTGTGGCTCAACTGAAGTGGGCTTTGAGCATGTACAGCTTGATGTTCTCCTTTGCCAGTGATATTCCCTGACACCTTGAATGAACATTGGTCTAACAAAGACTCATGAGAAGAGAACTATAACACCCCAACAGTTTCTGCAAATGTAGGGGGTGTCTATCATCAGTTGAGACATCTACTTTGCC